TTTGGTGTCTTGCTATTAAAGTACATTCCAGTTAAGCTTGTCTCAGCATTCGTTACTGGACAGAGAAGGGGGTCAGAACAGTATAGTATAGCCTTTATTGTCATTGTACAAAATAAACACAAGGGAATTTAACTCATTTTTTTCAGTACCCTTGTAACTTTGAATGGTCACTAAATGAACTGTTGTAAGTGGAGGACTATTTAGGCACTTTTTCTTTTTTTTTTTTTTTTTTTTTTACAAATAGTGACAAATGAGATGTACTTCCCTACCAGAAAGGAGCACTGAGTTATTTGGAAGTGTGATTCTTCAAGTGGTAATTTGGGAATTCGTGTATATTTGGATAAAGTTTTCCAGACTCCAACCTTGGTCACTTTAAGCCTGGTGGACTTCAACTCCCAGAATTCCCCAGCCAACTTTACTTGAAGACTTTGTATGCCCCAAGCTGATAAAGTCAATCTTGGAGATAGTTGTCAAGAAGAAGGAAAAAAATGAAACTTTGACTTTGGTTTATTAGAAAAGATTTGGTGTTATAGGAATGGCCAGTTGTATATTCATGGGTAAAAGCAAAAAGTTGAGGTTGGGGTGTATTTATCTTGTGCTGTGCTAAGAAGAGTTGGAAGTCAATGGCCTTTTTCTTTCTTTTTTCTCTTTCTCCTTGTATCTCTCACCCCGCCTTTTCCCTTCAATGTCCTATTTTTTCTTCTCTTTTTTGTACTTTATATAATAAAACAAAACCTTAATAACCATGAAAAAAAATAACCTTAGCGATAGTCCATGCTATTACCACTTAGATACAACCTTAAGCTTACCATTCTCTGCCTCATGGGAAAAGTCATTTCCTTGACTGGACGTTGCTTTCAGATTCCGTTTCTTTAATTTCTTCAGCAGCCCATAACGTTCTAAAAAGCTTCCGAAGGAAATCCTGCCAGGAAAGCAGTAGGGGAAAGAAATGATCCGATGCATAATTCAATTCTGTATACTTCTATACAAACAGCCCTCAACCTATCACTGTAATTGAGCCTGGAAATAAGCTATTAAATCATGCCAGTTATTAAACAGGTCACCAGGTGACCATGCCTGATTTTATGACCTTTTTTCTGATGGTCATTAAGCAAATCCATTGTCTGCAATGGGCTTTTTTTTTTACAGGAAACCAGAAGTAAATACCAGTCTCTGGCAAGTGTGTGTGTGTGTGTGTGTAATGGTTATGTATGTATGTATGTATGTATGTATGTATGTATGTATGTATGTATGTTATATTTATGCTGATAAATAAATAAAGGGAGAC